ATTCATAATGGGATTGTGAATTACCGTATCGACACTATGTGTGCAAAACCATGAAATTTATAATGAGTTGAAATATTCAATTTGTATTTTGATATTTTATAATACACTTATGTTTTGATTTCACCTCATTATTATTATGCCTCACTAAGTGAATACTTAGCGTGTATTGGTTTCACGCGTAGGTATTAGTACAAGTGGAGTAAGGAGTGCAGCTGACATCGTCAATCAAATGTTGCCTCATCAGTAACTGTATAACTATTATGTCTACTTTTGATATTAGTAGATAGCATGTAATAGACTTATGATAATGCTCTGGAAAGTATTTGACTTATGATGACTGTAATATTTAATATGTTAGAATTTTAAGACTATTTTACATACTATAAGTTAATGAACATTTTATTATTATTACATTAAAATGTTTTAGGTATAAAACAAAATTTTACTAGTTTTCAAAAGAGAAAAATGTTTTTAAAAGTCATGTGACATCTGTGACTTGTGTACGGGAAATGAGTGTTACAGAAACAGTATATCGTGGACTTGAATGAAAAGACATGTACCCGTAGAAAGTGGAAACTATGTGGAATTCCTTGTCCTCATGCTTGTTGTGCAATATGACATAGTGGTGGGGACCCATATGAGTATTTGTACTCCTGTTATCACAAGGACACTTACAGTAAAACATATAAATATGTTTTACAACCTATTAATAGGCCTCAAGTTTGGAAGAAATATAGAATTAAGCCTGTTCTTCCATCAGTTGATAGAGATATGCCTGGAAGGCCTAAGAAAAATCGAAGGAAGTTAAAAGATGAACAAAAAAAAGTCAAGCCTGGACATCTAAATAGGGTTGATCTTATTATGAGTTGTAGAAATTGTGGTGGATAATGACATAATAAAAGATCATGTACTCAACCTAAAACTACAAACCAGGTAAGCTGCATTTATTAGGACTTTTTTTTACTTTTTAATTGTGTTCCATTTATATATTCAATTTTTCTTTTTTGTCTTTTTTTGTTCAGGGGAGCAATATGGATAACATTTCTTTAGCAAGATCAACAAGTGCAACGGTATCAAATAGTACATAGCTTCAAGGAAATAAAAGAAAAAAGAAAATGTCAATAATTATTTTGATAGATCAACAAGAAATAGAAGATACAACGGGATAAGCCTCTACACTAGTTTGAGGACTAAGGAGCAGGCTTTCTATGTAAGATCAAGTTTTAAACTTATTTTTTTGTTATTAATAATTCATGAATATTTTAATATTGTTATTTTGTAACAGTCTAATTCACTTAATCCAAAGAAGAGGAAATGAGTTGACGAACCTATGGGTATTCAAGAATCGATTGCACCAAAGAAAAAGAAATGAATTGTTGATTGCAGTAGTTATTAGGGATACGGGTGTTGTTGCTTTTTGTGCCTAAACCCAAATATTTGTCTAACTTTTTTGTTATTAGGGATATATGATAACTTTTTGGTTAAAGATGCATTTTTGTTTACCATGATAAGAAATGAATTGTGAATTGCAGTAGTTATTAGGGATATGGATAACTTTTTTGTTAAAGATGCTTTTTGGGTAGAATAATAAGAAAATGATACAAATATTGTCAATCATTTTGTTCATGAAACATGTTATTTATGGATGAAATTATACTAGCAAACATTTGGATATGGAAATTACTGTCAATTATTTTGTGAATGAAATAGGTTATCACAACAGTAAATAATTCATTGTAAAAAAGTAATTGTCAACACTTAATATTTGACATTAACACTAAATAATAAAATCTGAACTGTGAATAATAGACGAACATAAACTCCTTTCAACATATTAATTCAGCTTAAACACTAAACTGCTACTAGAAGTAATATTATCACAAAGATACATATGACACACAATATAGATCAAATGAACTTTGTCTTATAAAAATCTTTTTTTCTTCTTCAATGCTTTAGTTTTTCCATTAATGCTCTTAATCTTTCATTTTAATTCATTGTCATTAACTTCACTTTGCACACTTTCATTCTCTTCCAATGGCATATTGTTCGCATGACCAGTTGAAATACCTCCACAACTTCTAATATGTCTTCTAGGTCTTTTATTCTCATTCACTAAATCTTGTTCACTGTCACGTAATTGTCGTAGTAATTGATTTGCTCATTTAGGCATGCTATCATCATATCATTCAAAATACCTACAACCATGCTACAAAAAGGGAAAAACAAATTCCATTACCAGCTCATATATACATTTCTTATTATAAGCCAACTAACATTCAAAAATAAAGTATCAACCTTCTTTCGGGGTTTAAATCACTCCATAAAGTTTCTCTGGGATCCAATTTATTGCAATAACATTTTTTGGGTTCTCCATCGTACACGAAATCTCGTTGAGAACAACTAAAGATACTTGGAGAATCGAATCTGTCCATTAGAGAGTTTCTTACCCTACATACATTTTCAACATACTATCAATACTATTTCTTACTAGAAACCCAAATAAAAACAAAAAAAATTACTCTATCATTATGTTCCAAACCGATTCATTTCGAACTAAGATATACAACAATGTTCCAGGCTTATGAATAACTCATTCATAACATCTATAAAACTCATTTGAAAATAAGAAACAACCCCAAACATTATAGAAAACTAATTTGAAAACCCATTCGAAAATAAGGAAATAGTGCATTATTCCATTCAAAAAACTAAACTCACATTCGAAATCATTGATGTTATGCGAATAATCGATAGGAAAATAAGAAAACTCACCTTCGTTTTCGACTGGGGAGGAAGCTTCAATGAATTTGAAAAAAATAAAAGGGTTAATGAAACCCTAAACCCTAATTTTTTAGGCATAATCGGGTATGAGGAATTCAAATTGTGAGAAGATATAAGGGGAATAGCAGGGCGTGTTTTTCTCATTAAATTCAAACTTAATAATCTATTAAATAGGTTTTATTTCTTTAAGTAACCAAGTAACCATCTTGGTCCAGTGGCAAATTGAATCCCATTTCATCCCTTATACCCAGGTTTAAGTCCCCCATGCATTTGACCTTTTCATAATCCATCAAATAATAACCAGTCAAATAGTGACACATGTCACATGTCACTATCTGATTGGTCATAATTAATAAAATATAATTAAAAATAATAATTTTTATTTTTTTTAAAAAAAATCTGACGTGGCATTACCACGTCATAAATCCCAATGAGCTGAACATTCACGTTAACTTTTCCCTCCACGTGTGCTTGTTCCATCAGCATCTGGATTTGACTATCAGTTGATTGACGATTTCCATCCACCCTTGGTTGTTTCTGACCCAAAACTAAACGTTCACTGGTCAAATTTTCCAAAAAAAAAACAATATATGCAAGTTTGACACTAGTGTCAAATGTTAGTTATTTTATTGCATTATACCAAGATAAAATTCTAGAATATTTTCATTAATGTTATATACATTAATTAAAAAACTAAAACAATAAAATATCCTAAATTACCCTAAATAAATTATGGAAAGTATAAATGAATTTAATTACAAATATTTAATAAATTTATTGAAAAGTTGTAATAAATTAAAATTTCCTTATCAGGTCCTTATTCAATTTTCATGTGATGTCTTCGCTAAAATACGTATATCTTGAGTTTCTGACATCTGATTGAGGTCTTTCAAAATACGTTGAAAAGCTAACTAAAATATGGTCATATTTCAAGACATCATACCTTGAAAATGTACAAATATTGCTTGAAAATTTGTTGCAAGTCGACTGACATTTCGTGCTTCAAAATCAATTTCAATAAAAATGTTTATGTTTTAGAAAAAAGTAGATCGGAAGAAAATCAGGTATTACAATTAAAACTCCCTTTAATCATTGAAGTCGTAGTGAGTTCAAAATAATTTGAAGTTTCGAATGATAATTCAAGGACTTTCAGTTTTGTTTTGGGGTTAACTACATGAATGATTATTTATGTTTGTGTTTTGTTCATTTTTTGTCTTTGATTTCAAAAAAACATAAGATATGATCACTTTCATTTTTATTTAATTAAGGTGCGGTCACCTCGAGTTAACTTTCGTTAACAATAGTTAAATATTTTGATATAATCACACATTTAGTACATGTTATTTACATATTATCTCAATTTGGTATACTTTTAATAAATTAAAATAAATTTAATCCTCCAATTGAATGATGTCACATGTCATGCCACGTGTAATCATTCGGTTGGAAGACTAACTTTATTTTAATTTAATATATTTATTTCCACCAATCAAAGAGTGACATGTGTCACACTCTGGTTGAAAGAAACAAAGAAAAACAAATTGGGGAAAAAAAGATTTAAACATTGGTCACTTAGGAAACTAAACATGTATCCAAACATTAAGGCAAGACCATTATTTGGTCTAAAGTAGACAACATGATGTATATATTTTGTATCTTAGTGTATAAATACTTAAATTCATAATTTTTTAATATATTAAAAAGTATTTTTATATTAACTTATTAAATATATTTTATTATTAACTTAATTTTAAAATAATTTATTTTATTTTCATTTAAAAATATATATTATATGTTAAAATTTATTTAAAAGCATAACTAAATTAAGAGAATATGTAAATAACAAAGATTAAATGTGTGATTATACCAACTATCACGTCACATATTCTGTTAATTGTTAACAACAGGTAACCCGTGATCACCACATCTTGATTAAATAAAAAATAAAACTGACTATATCTTAATTAAATAAAATCAAAAGTGACTATATCTTATGTTTTTTTGAAATCAATGATCAAAAGCTAAAACACAAATATAAATAATTATATGTGTAGTTGACCCTTTGTTTTATTATCAATTAATGAGCCATAAAAGGAAGAGAGGCCCAAATACTTAGAAAACTCCAGGGCCCATCCCCACCACTGAAAGAGAGAGAACATAAATACTGTTTCCGGCCTGGAAAGTAGATATACACGCGCTATAAAATGGAGCCGACAATGTCGAACGGAGCACTTCGGGTTTCAAAATTCGAGTTCGAGTCGGTAGGTATCCGTTTTTGAGAGTAGTACTGCGAGAAGGCGCCTGGTGCAGCAATGAGAGAAGTGGCCATTAGCTCTGGTGGGACCATAGATCCCGCTCCTGCTGCGAGGTACCCAACTCTTGCTACCCCTTTTACTTGCTTTTGCGATTCAATTTTCTCAGGTTAGGGTTTCCTTTTTCTGGTTGAATGTTGGGCTTTCATTGTTTTCCGACGTGATTTTAGGTTTTGGGTTAGGTTCGTTGGCTGTTTTTAGCAGCTGCGAAAAGCGGGGTGAGAAGAAGACTGGGAAGTTTGGGTTGATTGTTTTAGAAAGGGGAAATGGTTGTTTGTTAGGAAGTGAAAAACGAGTCATAAGTTGGGGGTTTGGCTAGAGATCCTAAATTTGAGATTTGGCACACTTTTGGTAGAATCCAAGTAAGGAGAAGGGAAAATTGAAAGCATTGAATTAACTTGGTTTTCTTTTCTATGCCCAAATTAAAAGAAAAGATGCAAGCTTTTGCATTTGGAAGTCATAACTAGGTCATTAGGTTTATGTATGTATTATGTACACAATTATGGCTTCCTATGAAAGTGCTGATGATCTAGAAAAAATGTTTTTTATCATTTCTATGGTTGTTTGCTAACTTGCTAGGTCATTAACTCATTATTTATGCTATTTTTGGATAATTTTTATTGGTATAGACGTATAGTAGAGGATGGAAACAGGGTCCACGCAACTATGTCAACTAGGAGCATGCCATTTCATTGGCAGGAAAGTTTTTGTTTCCTGCTAAAGTACCTTAGAACGTTTCAGCCAAGACACATTTTGATCAAGCCCATGCTTGGTGCCCACCCCTGACATGGTTTTTCTTTATTTATTTTTTTACCCCTGACATGCTTGGTGCCCACCCCTGATAGGAAATAAAAAGTTCTCATTGATTGAAGTTTTCTTTAATTTTTTTATTGATTGTACCTTTACTAGTATAAAAAATGGATAGTATCAACCCTCTACTATTCAGTGATATTCAAAAATAGATATGGGATCATAAGAAAATCATGCATATTGACCAATAAGAGAAATAGTCCCATTCATGCTTCATTAAGAATTATGAAAAAATGACGCATCTTGTTCTTTATCAGTTCTGCTGGGGCATCCTCACCGGCTGTTCAAACAAATGTTGGCAGTGTAGATTGGTCTGGTCCTGGTCAGAATTCCAAAGCAGCTTCTCAGTCTTGTGTTGGATCGCAAGCTCCACGGATTTCAGTAAGTACTAGTGCTGGTGGCTCTGCCCTTGGATCATCAAGAACTTCATGTCGACCATGGGAAAGAGGGGATCTTCTCAGGCGCTTGGCTACATTTAAGCCTATGAATTGGTTGGGGAAACCCAAGGTACACAATTGATTCAGCTGCTGAATCTCCTTAGTAGAAATTTAGTCCTGTGGAGTTTGCATTTTGTCTGGCATGTTCTCCCCTCCCCCTCCCCCTCCCCCCTCTCATTTGTATTGTTTTTTTATATTCAGCACAGTTGGGTTGTCACCCTTATCACAAAGGACATCATCAATACACTTTGTTATATAATCTTTTAAGTTATTCCTTGGTGTTAAAGTGATTGTATATTCATTGAGTACAGCACATAAAAGGTTTAGTTTCTTTTAATTATTGAATATGCTTATTCTGGTCTTAAGACAAACTTCCCTTTTTCAAATCAATTGTAGGTTGCCAGCTCATTGGGTTGTGCTAAGAGAGGTTGGATAAATATAGATGTTGATAAAATTGAATGTGAAACTTGTGGGACAAGCCTGCATTTTGCATCCTCCCCATCCTGGACTCCTTCTGAAGGTTAGCTATTGCAATGCGACCATTTCTTTTCCTTTACTTGCAGCTTCCTGGTGATATATAATCATTGTAGTAAGGCCATCACAAAACCTCAGACCTTTCTAGGTAATGATACTTTGGGATGTGCTTAATTATATATAAGAAAATAGATGAGCAACATTGTAATGGACAGATAACTGAAAGAGCTAATTTCACAGACGGTCATTTTCCATTAATTGTGCTTATTGGAAACATTAGTTCTTTGCCTGTCCAAGGAATATGACAATAATTTGGCATGGTATATGTTTCTAAGTGATTGATTCTAAATACTTATTTTGATCATTCATTTTTTTTACGTCAGTGAGGGAATTGATGAAGTGAACCATTTGTGTGTTCGATTTGTACATGGTGTTGCATTAGCTTTTACTTATTATGATAGGTCAGTAGCTGCAACAGTTGTTTTGGATTCAGTAACTAAACTGTTTTGGGCGGTTTGACTGTCTAAACTTGAAGTTAATATTATCTTCTTCTTCTTCTTCTTTGTATGTGTGTGGGGGGGGGATTGTCTAGCAGTTGATTTCTAATGGTACAAGATATTTTGTTCTCTCTTCTTTTCCTTTTCTCAAACACTATTGAATTTTACCTCTCTCTATTGGTTTGAAGTTGAAGATGCTGGTGACGCCTTTTCCAAGCAGTTGGATGTTGGTCACAAAGTTGCTTGTCCTTGGAGAGGAAACATCTGTCCAGAAAGCCTGGTCCAATTCCCTCCAACACCCCAGTCTGCCCTAATTGCAGGATACAAGGATAGATGTGATGGACTTATGCAGTTTCAGTCTCTTCCCATAATAGCTGAGTCCGCATTGGAGAATATGCAAGCTTCTCGGGGTCCACAGGTCGATCACCTTCTGTCCCTATTGCAGAATTATATGGCAGAGTTTGAATCCAGATCAGAGAGCGTACCAGAACTTGATACTACTCGAGATGGTGCATTTTGTCTGTACTCTCATGTAAGATATTTTAACATGTTTTTATCTGCTTGTAATTGGCAATGTTTCTGTGCTCTTATGTGCTTTACGATTTAACAGTCTCAGAAGCTCATAAGCTTGTGTGGATGGGAACCAAGATGGCTTCTAAATGTTCAAGACTGTGAGGAACATTCTGTTCAATCAGCTAGAAATGGATGTTCTTTTGGCGCTAACAGAACACAAGTCCCTCTTTCACAGGATCCTGGACCTAGCAAAAATGCTCTTGCTCCTTCTGCCAAGGACACGGGGAAAAATAAGTTATTAGTCGTGGAGTCTAGATCTTCATTCAGGCTGCCCTTGTTAGACTGTAGCTTATGTGGTGCTACTGTCAGGATATTGGATTTTTTAACTGTTCCTCGACCTGCTCGTGTTGCTCCCAACAACATTGATATTCCTGGTACAACCAAGAAAATGGGATTGACACGCGGATTAAGTGCAGCCAGTGGAATTAGTGGTTGGGGTGCTGCTGATGATCCAGGGAAAGAACAGACTGAAGACCGTGATGAAGTAGGAACAACTGATGAGAGAAAATTGGTGCAAAAAGCAGATGTTGATTTGAACCTTACAATGGCTGGGGGTCTGTCTTTCAATATGTTGGGTAGAACCACAACATCCAGAAATAGGAATGATGCAGACATGGGTCGGGATCTAATTATTAGGCAACCATCAGGTAGTGAGGTTGGTGATCGTGCAGCTTCTTATGAATCACGGGGTCCCACTTCTCGCAAGCGAACCTTGGAAGTAGGTGCCAGTTCAGATGATAGGCCACAGCTATGTCCACAACAGGCTGATAGTGTTGAAGAAACTGTCATTGATCGTGATGGTGAGAAATTCAATGATTGCAAGCAATATTCTGCCGGGCCTTCAAAACGTGCTCGTGATTCAGATGCTTTTGATACTTTCTGCTCACCATATCCAAGAGACTCGTCTGATGCAGGCCCAAGCCGTTCGGTGGATTTTGAAGCTTATGGAGATGGTGGTAATAGAGTTGCTCTGTTTAGGCAAGGAAGTAACAAGATTATTGAAATCCCATCAGCCAGAGATTCAATGCGCGCATCCTCTGTCATTGCAATGGATACTTTGTGTCACAGTGCTGATGGTGACTCTATGGAAAGTGTTGAAAATTATCGTGGGGATGTTGATGATATTCATTTTCCCTCTTCTAGCACATATGGCCACCTTGACATGAATGAAACATCAGAGTTGAATTACAGTAATCAAGCTCAGCAGAGTATTTATTTCCAACCAGCTGCTGAAGAAATTCCAGGTGAAATGGGCATCAGTAGCACAAATGACGGTGAGGAAATTTTTAATGCTGAAACTGTGACAGTACAGGCTAGGGATGGGTTTAGTTTTGGAATTAGTGGGGGGAGTGTTGGTATGTGTGCCAGCCATGAAGCTGAAATCCATGGAGCAGATGTCTCTGTGCATAGAACAGATAGTGTAGTTAGCGACGTAGAACCCAGAATGGAAGATGCTGAAAATCAGGGTCAAACTGGAGAATCTGCTCCAGATCCTGGGTTGATGGATGAGGTTGTCCCTGGTGAAATAAATAGGGAGGATCCTCATGGTGATAGCCAGGAAATGTTGTCTCGCTCCTTGGGAAGGGATGACAATGGTTCAAAAGTTGATGGTTCTGCTAAGGCAGAGTCTGTTGAAAGTGGTGAAAAGATAAGCCAAAGCTGCAAAGTAGTCCCCGATAACTTTGTTCATCCGTCTCTTTCCTGCAATGCTAATATGTACTCTGGTAATGAAACACCCAAGAGAGAGGCCAAAGATGCTGGAAAATCATCTTCCATAAACAATTGTCCAGAGCCGGAGTTGGATTATGCTGTTGCAAATGGAATAGGTAAACTCTTATGACTATGTACTCTGGTAATGAAACGCCTCAGCACCAATTAATATACAGATTTACTTCCAAGGCACTTTGGGTGGCTTGGCCCTCTTTTTGTTTATTTATTTATTTCACTTTAATAAGTAAGATGACAAAAGGAAGATTCCCCTCTTTGGTGCAGAGGTATGATCTAATTTTTCTTCAGATTGCAATAGGTTTAAGTGGTAACCCTGTAGTTTGGTTTATCAATTTCTTTCACTCTGCTGCTGAAGCAGTAAGAACGAGCTATTCTCAGGACCATAACAATGTCTTATGAGCCTGAATTAATTAAAATTTTCTGGATCATTTACTTCTATCTAATTAGCATTTAGCATTGAGCCCTATGTGCAAGGAAATGTGTGTCATTTCAGTTCTATTTGATGTTACTTTCTTTGGTTTAATCATATCCGACTTTTCGTTTGTATGGGAATTCATGTTTCACTCAATTGTATGACATTTTGAATGTGGTTTCAATGGATGTGTTTCTCTGTTTCCTTTTCCCTTATGTCTCTTCCGGATACCTTATCAAGACTACTTGTGTTTTAGGCCCACCAAAAGGAGAAAGCAATTATGAAGAAACTGTAGAATTTGATCCAATTATTCATCACAACCAATTCTGTCCATGGGTGAATGGAACTGTTGCTGCTGCTGGTTGTAGTAGCTCCAGTGCTGATGTCGTTGCACTTTGTGGGTGGCAGCTGACCTTGGATGCTCTGGATGCCCTGCGGTCACAGGGGCATATTCCCGTGCAGACAGGACAATCTGAATCTGCTGCATCATTGCATAAGGTTTGTTGTCTTGGTACTGAAGTATCGTAAATCCAGGCCTAGAGGCTACTACAATAACCCTTTATTTCCTTAGTTGTTGTCAATTTTCTTTTGCAGGATGATCACCAAACTCCTGGTAAAAAGCTCCATCGACGGCATCCTACGAACAAAAATCACAGGCAGTAACATGAAGTGTAAAGACACCTGCAATGGCTAGTAAGTATGTCACTTATGTAAAATGATTGGTTGTAGCTCCTAATCATGCATCTTTCTTCATGTTATCGTAGTTTTAATTGGATTTGGATCATTGTCCTGAAAGTTTAGGATCTATTCTCATTTATATGTGAGTGTATATTTTATTCTGGTCCAAATCTACAGTGTATAAGCTATGTATAAAAGATCAGGATAATTGATCTTAGGTTAACAAAACTAAAATAAGGTTCTGTTGCAAGGGGGGGTGATCATATATATTTATATGTGCTAGCTTTTATGCAATTAATTGTTCATTACACAGCTATTACAAACATTTCTTTTTGGCAGTAAATAAAAGTTCTTTACATATCTTTGACTCTTTTAAGAAGGGATCTTGTTGATACCAAAATGGAAGGAGAATCTTGACTATGATCTGATTATACCTTAAGGTGACGTTTGGTTGGATGGAATCCCTTGGAATTGGTGGAAATTGGAATCAAATTCTATTACTTTCCCATGTTTGGTTCAAGTTTTTCAAGAGAATTGGAATCCCTGATGGAATTCAATTCCATCAAATGAGGGAAAGTGAATTCAATCAAAAAATGGATGGAATTCAATTCCCTTGTTGGAGGGAATTGAAATTTGACCATACTACTCTCATCAATTATTTAGTAACTTATTTATATATTGAATAAAAATATTTTTTTATTATTTTGGGTCGGGTCGGGTTTCTAATTCATATATTTAGGTTGGGTCGGGTGAAATTTTATTTTGGTCGGGTCGGATCGGGTTTTTTTAAGTGTGATATTCGGGTTCGGGTTTAGGGTGAAATGAATCGGTCCGATCTGAAAATATATATAATTCAGGTCGGGTCGGATTAAGTCATTGTTTTTATTAAATAAAAATAATTTTTTATTATTTCGGGTCTGGTCGGATGAAATTTTATTTTGTTCGGGTTGGGTTTTTTAAGTGAGATATTCGGGTCGGGTCGGGTGTTTTTAAGTGTGATATTCGGGTCAGGTTTGGGTTTAGGGTGAAAAAAACCGGACCGACCCGAAAATATATATAATTTAGGTCGAATTAAGTCACTGTTTTTATTAAATAAAAATATTTTTTTATTATTTCGGGTCGGATTTCTAATTCATATATTCAGGTCGGGTCGGATGAAATTTTATTTTGTTCAGGTCGAGTTTTTTAAGTGTGATATTCGGGTCGGGTTCGGGTTTAGGGTGAAAAAATCGGACTGACCCGAAAAAAATAGGATCGACTTTGAAAAATATATATAATTTTATCTTATATATTTAAGAATAATTATAATAATATCTCTTTATATATAATTTTTTCCAATTAAGTCAATGTTTTTATTGAATAAAAATAATTTTTTTATTATTTTGAGTCGTGTCGGGTCGAGTTTCTAATTCATATATTAAATAAAAATAGTTTTTGGTATATTTTTTGGTAAGTAATTAACATACTCCGATTGGAATGTATCGAAATATTGCTCTATCTTTTGGTAACTTATTAACATATTTTGATTGCGATGATTTTAACTTATAATATTTATTAGCATGATTTTTATAATTTATTGAAATGAATAATCAATTAATAAAATGAAAATTTAATATATTTTAATTTTTTATAATATATTATCACATGTAAGTTATAAAATAAACTAAAATAAAGAGAAAAAAAATAAGAAGGGTAATTTTGTCATTTTATATTATTGAAATCAAATTCATCTGACATGTCTGCGAACCAAACAAAATATGGAATTGGATTTCAATTCCATTTCCTATCAACCAAATAGAATATGGAATTGGATTTCAATTCTTTTATAGATTTCAATTCCTTCATAAATATTCCAACGAACCGTCGTCTAATTCTCTTGTAAGAGGGGCCATATTCGGGAAGTCTAAAAGCAGTGAAATACTCGACTTTCTATGTAACAACTAAATGAAATAGGGGGCTAGGAGCTGAAGTTTTGAAAGTCTAAATGCCGAACATAATTTATTGTCTTATTGATGCGGTCAAATCAAAAGATCACAAGAAAATATAAGGGAAACACAGAGGCATACGTGTATAGTATGAACATTATGCATTTCGTGTCCTAAAGTTGAATATAGCAACAAAGGCAACCTTCTGAACTCCAGTAAAAAATGGAGAAAGATGTTCATTAACATGCATCAAAGTTTTGGCATCCCCAAGTTAAATAATTGACAACAATGCATGTAAACCTGCTAGATTCGAAGGGGAAAAAAGAGATTTTCTATTCCAATATTTTCAATGATGTTATAATATGAAGTATGAAATTATAAGTTCTAACTTCATTTTTGTGATTTGGTCAGTAGAACAAGAAATTTGGACAAACCTTGTACTGCAAACATGATTGTCTTCCACTACCCCCTGGGGAAGTGCTGATGTAGAGCGTGGAATAAGGCATTTTCAACGGTTGGAGCTGGCACCATCCCTAGGGGAACTTCTGTCATTTCTTACTTTCCCTTCTTATCTCATGATCAAGTATTTTGTGTCAATACTTGCTGCATAGATGATCTATATTTTTGTCTTTAAGCTGGTTCTTCTCAACATTATGAATATTTATTATTATGTGACAGTGAACATTGCTGTCAAGTAAAATCCCTTTTTTCTTAAGATCTTCTCCTCCTTCAGGATTTTGGATTGTTTTATAGATGATGTAAACTTTGTTAGCTATCCTTACATAAGATTTATATTTACTTCAAATAATTTTAAGATATGGTACCTGAAGTTTACACTTAATTTTTAACACTATGTTGAGTTGGTATTTGATCAATCTTAGTATGACATAGTAACATATTTTAATTCCTTATATATGCTTTCCCGCTCCCTCTCCTGTGTTCAAATACTATAGATTGTTAAACGAAAATGGTTTGAAATGATTACTCAATATTTTTAAATCAAATTTACCTTGAAGTGAAAGATTAATATATGTTTAAACATGTTTAAGTTTGCTACTTTTAAGATGTTGTAATAGTAATCATGTCAATTAAATTATGATTTAATTTGATCTTAAAGTACTTGAGGCAATTATAGTGATGGTAATCAGCAGTTGCAACCGATAGGATAGGGTGGTTCAAGGTCCACTCAGGATCCAGTTAAGTCATCTAAAAGAAATCCAGCTTCATCCAATCATTTATCAGCTCAATCTCCATGTGTCATTGCCACATAACATACAAATAACGGCCAATAAGATCAGTTTTCAGACAACAAGCCTATCCCTCCCTGTTTTTTCACCATGTCTGCAACAGCTGCAACAGCATTCCAATCTTCCCTATGCATCTCTTCCCAGAAACCTTCATTTTCTCCCACAAATTCCCAGGAACCAAAAACCCATTTAGCATCAAAACCAAAAAGCCTCCTCCACAAACACCCACTCTACTCATCGGCTCGCCACAACATCTCCCTTCAAATCAAGGAGAAAATCCTATGCCTCGAAATCATGGGCATTGACTCAGGTAAAGCACTCTCACTCAACCCTTCTCTCCGCACCACTTCCCTTGATTCCCTCAACTCCATCATCTCCTTCCTGCAATCCAAAGGCATTCATCAAAAGGACCTCCCTAGAATCTTTGGCATGTGCCCCAAAATCCTGACCTCCAATATCAAAACTGACCTTAACCCAGTTTTCAGTTTCCTCTCCCAAGACCTTAATGTCCCAGAAAACAACTACAGGAAGGTCATAAACAAGTGTCCAAGACTGCTTACTTCAAGTGTCAGAGACCAGCTGAAACCAGCTTTATTCTATCTCCAAAGGCTAGGGTTTAAAGACTTGGAAGCCTTGGCTTATCAAGACCCTGTGTTGCTAGTGTCCAGTGTGGAACACACCTTGATACCCAAGTTGAAGTTCTTGGAAAGTATGGGGATTTCAACAGGTGAGGCTAAAAGCATGGTGTTGAGGTGCCCTGGTTTGTTCACTTTCAGCATAGAGAACAACTACAAGCCCAAATTTGAGTACTTCAAGGAGGAGATGAATGGGAATTTGGAGGAGTTGAAGGAATTCCCCCAGTTCTTTGCTTTTAGTTTAGAGAAGAGGATAAAACCAAGGCACGTTGAAGTCATGAAAAGTGGGGTTAAATTGCCATTGGCTAACATTCTAAAGAGCACTGATGAAGAGTTTAAGGAGTTGCTGAGAAACAATGAGGTTAATAGCTGATGATGATCATATGTATGTTTATATTCTTGTTTGTGAACCTTGTTTCAAATGTAAATTTGGCAGTTTCATACGGCGGTCGGAAAATAATCCAAAGCAGTAAAGATTTTTCATTAAATATAGTTTTGTTCTCTCAAAAATTCAGATCCCCTGATTTGGATTTGGAATGGGATAGCTTAAAATAAAGTTTTGGGTAAACAATTCTAAATCTCAGTAATCTTAGTATATGTATTAATTTTATGACTGAATTTTAAAATATTTCAATTGTAATACTGAATTTTGATTTTAACATATGCATTGATCGTTAAATCATTAAAGACATGTGTGATTATTTTTTTCCCTTGTGGACCTAAATTTGTGTATCAATTTTATTATTAAATTTTAAAACTCTTCATTTTTAAGCATTGAATTTTTGTTTACATGTCATTTTACAGTCATAAATTATTTTTTTTTTAATTGAAAGGAGGCTAATGCCTAATTAACAGTACACAGCTCTAGGATAAGCAGGGCCGTGTACGTCTCTCTCGAGCAGCCGCTGAACTTCAGTTGGCGCGGTCGAGAAGATGCGCAGCAGATAATCATGGGGGCACTCGAGCTTGATGATTCCAACGGCAACCATGGTTAATTGCCGTCCGTCACTAATTATCATTTGGAAAAGATTAATACGAAAATGTTCTTATAATTTTTTTTAACAAAACTCAATTAAAACCATAATTTTACTTGAAACCAAGTGATTCTAGGAATCAAGTCCCCAACCTCGTGATTCCTATTAATGCCCACTTTCTTATTTTGAGAGTGATCGCTATTCACGTTAGTGAAAAGCTCACTAATTTGTCCCAAAAGGGTTTCGCATTTCATTTCATTTCATCAACCCATGTTAATGGCTAAACCAATCAAAAACATAAAATTTTCACTGAAATAATTAGTTAAACTAAAAACAAGGTTTCCATTACAAGCAAAAGAAAACTAATACAAGGAAAAAGATGGGTTTTTTTTTTTATTTGTTACGTGGCTAAAGCGGTGTTGAGACACGCGAGATTACTCTTCAGCAGACTTTAGGTTTGGGCTGCTTCGGTATCATAAACCCCAAGATTTTTCTTTAAGCAAAAAAGGGTTTAATTTTTGGGTTTTCTTTTTTGTTTTTTCTTCTGTTTGGGTTCCTGGAAAAATATTAGTAACATAAACACAGAAAGAGAAACAAGGTGAAGATGAGGTTTTTCCAGGATTTCTGCAATTCCCAGAAAAAACTCGGTCGGTTTCATTCTCTCTCGTTCAGCTGACCCTCCCCAATCCGTTTTTTCTAATCAGTATGTTCATTCTACTATAAAGGTATACCTTGACTCTACCCTCCGCTTTTTCTTCGGTTTCTTTTGTTCAAGTTTTGAAAGACTACAAATTTGTAATTGGCAGCTGCTCCTTAATTCCAGCTGTCTACTATTGATTAATTAGTAAGAGTTGATCTATTTTGTTAATCGATTATATGCTGCTTTATTCTTTCCTTGGGTTTTAATGTTAATCCTTAAAGCATGTATTGGGTGCACTTTTGAAATGCAATGATGTTGTCACTACACGGAATGAATCGGTGGTCAAAGCTACTTCTTTATATTCAAAGTGGAGTTGGTACAGTGAATTAAGGTTACATGATGACTGAATCAAATGGATAATTTAAGATGACTATGTTATAGATCGATTTTTTCTGATCTGTCGTCCGGTTCTTTCTTTCGATCAATTTATTTTTGATGAAATGTGTGACAGGAAAGAGTGATTGTAAATCTTGTATATGTACTGATCACTTATCCTTTTTCTTGTTGCTGTTTCTGTGGATTAGTAGGTTTGTAGTGGCCGAGGAACTCCATCCTGGAGTTTGCCTTCACTGCTTGGCCTTGGACGACAAATTCATCGGAGCAGCTCCGTGATAGAGGTTATCCTTTCATTGCCGAATTCCTTACAGTTTTAGGACAAGAGTCGTGGTTGCCATGGATATGATTTTTTCTAATATGTCAACTTTTCTAGTTCTCAAAGATGAAACATTTTATACTACTTTGGTCTTAAGTTGATTATTTTCCCTTTTGTCATGTTTGTTGTTCTTAATTGTTGGTTACTAGTCTGTGTATCTCGTACCCTCTCCACTCTCACGCATGTCACCCTTTTTTCGATCTCGTCTTTGTTTACTGCAATATTGGGATGGCATGGCATTTCCTTCAGGAGGAACTTGACCCATTTTCACTTGTTGCCGATGAGCTGTCACTGGTCGCTAACAGGTTACGGGCCATGGTTGTTGCTGAGGTATCATGCTGTTCTTTTTCATGGTTACCGAATGAATTTATTACATTTCCTTATGTAAGAAAGCAAAAAAGAAAAAGAAAAAATTGTCGCATTATGAAAATTTCATGAGCTTGCTTCAGCTGCTGAGTATTTCTTCAAATTGGAGGTGGAAGGAAAGAGATTCTGTCCCACGGTAATGTATCGTTACCTATGTGTTAATCTTGAGGTTACTGGCAGATTATTATAATTTTGATAAAAATTAAACTTAGCCACAATCAGTTCTCGACTCATTTCAAACTGAAACCCATTTCACCGAAATTAATCTTATTCTCTGTTACTTTTTTATCAAGATGGTTTCTTTATGTACAAATAATTTTATGGAAATCTCCAGAATAGTTATTGTTTATGTTCTATGCAGGTTTTGCTTTTGATGGCTACAGCTTTGAATGTTCATATACCCGAACCGGCTGCTGCTGGTGCAGGAGATTTTTTGACAACTGAATTGCGTACCAGACAGCAGTCTATAGCCGAGATAACAGAGATGATCCATGTCATTTCCTCGCTATTTAAATTTTCTTTATCATGTGCTTCATGCGCCGATGCTTCTTCATAACTCCCTTTAACATGATCATTTCCCCATCTAGGTTGCTAGCCTCCTCCATGATGATGTTCTGGATGACGCAGAAAAAAGACGTGGTATCAATTCATTGAATGCTGTAATGGGCAATAAGGTACTCTTCTTTTCTTGTTTTGTTGCGACTGACAGAAAAACTTTGTAGCCTAAGCAATTGCTCAACTATTCCAGTTTGTTTATAATGCAGTTGGCTGTATTAGCAGGAGATTTTCTGCTTTCACAGGCTTGTGTAGCCCTTGCTGCTTTAAAAGATACAGAGGTGCTTTTAATTTATTTTTTATTACCATTTACATGGTCTGTGTGGTGAATTTGCAAATGTAAATGTTGAGTTAAAAATCAGTTGCTTGTAAATTTGTAATGGCTGCAGGTTGTATCATTATTAGCAACAGTTGTGGAGAATCTGGTTATGGGCGAAACCATGCAAATGAATACTTCATCTGAACAACGTTGTAGGTATGCTGGTCTATTGCTCTGTACCGATACGTCGTTGTATTGTAACCGTGTTTAATTAGTTGGATGTCCAGCTATGTTTGGGTCCTGTGATGGTCATTATGGTAGCGGCAAACCAGATAACACGATTAGCATGCATATATTATTTCATATGTTTATGCTTGTCTTTTATCGAGTTAATAAGTGAATAATAGTTACAGCTTACAGTAGTCTAATGTTACCACAAAGCTTAAAGATTTATAAACTTCGACTAAGTGTCCGTCTTTTAGTACACGCTGTTTTATATTGAAGATAACACTTGCTTTTATAGTCATAAATTGTTATGGAATTTGTAATAATGGTTCTATGAGTGAGAATGGTTTCTATTTATCCGACATTATGCATTTTCATGCAAATAATTGCTGATAGGTAGATCTTCTTGATCTGATTCGGATTTAAGGATCTTTTGCTTGTATTTACTGGAACAATTTTCAATATGCAGCATGGAATATTACATGCAAAAGACATACTACAAGACTGCTTCCCTGATTTCAAACAGTTGCGAGGCAATTGCACTTCTTGCTGGGCAAACAATTGACGTTGCGATGTTGGCGTTTGAGTACGGCAAAAATCTGGTTTGTATTTTAGTTTATGTTTCACTTACCTTCAACACGTCCTAAATTGCAAGATCGGCATGCTTCCCGGTGAATTAGACTTAAATGATGTTTGACCTGGCAATAACCTCTTAAGTGGCTGAAATCCTTCTATCTATCTATCTATTGGTTTCCCTTTTTTCAGGGGTTGGCATTTCAATTGATAGACGATGTTCTTGATTTCACCGGCACATCAGCATTGCTCCGAAAGGGTTCTCTATCAGAAATCCGGCAGGTAATTCTTTATCCTTGATGTCTTGAGCAAAGTTTAAATGCCTTTAAGCTAGTATTGTTTTCTACTCTTGTCAAAGACCTTTTTGCCTAGTGTCTCTGTAGGAAGTGTAGAAAGATCATTTTCTCACCTACTTTGACAAAGCCTTTCTTTTCTAGGACATACTCGGTTCACAATGTGCTTTTAAATGGCTGACATAATGGTGAGCTCATCACAACCATCTGTTGTTGCAGGGAATTGTAACAGCTCCAATATTGTTTTCCATGGAAGAGTTTCCCCAGTTACATGCTGTTGTTTATAAAGGTTTCGACAGCCCTGAAAACATCAACATTGTAAGTATATATAACTTATGTATTAAACATTACTTATATTCGCTTTGGCCTCTGCATATAATTTGTGAATCTGCATAGAATGCATTCTTTCTCTTCAAACGATCGATGACCAGGGAAGTATACTACTTAAGGAGTTTCAAGTGATTAATTTCCGTTTACTTATTACATGGTTGCAGATTTGACTTGTCGGTCATCATTTTGTTGCTTCTTTCATCTTAATTCTTGACAACATATGTTTTTGCAACTATATGAACCTTTATCTTGTCCAAATTCACTTGAACTGGTCTATGTATGAAAAATATAGGTGCTCGAGTACCTTGGGAAGAGTCATGGAATACAAAGGACAAGAGAGCTAGCCATGAAGCATGCTAACCTCGCTGCTGCGGCAATTGAGTCTATACCGGAGAGCAATGACGACCATGTGATGAAGTCAAGGCGGGCACTATTGGAACTTACTC